GAAGGGGAGCTGTAACAGCAGAAATGATTCTTTTAGCAAGAAATTGGAAGGAGGAAAAGATTATTTCTGTGCAAATGTCCCTTGCATTGTTTCTGTTACCAATGAATTAAAAGATTCACGAAGGCCTGGAATCTGAGTGTTTTATCCCCAGTGACAATGTCCATGCACAGACTTACTAAGGCATAGCACTGATTGAGAGTTTAAATGTTTATTTAAAATAGAAATGCCAAACCACTCCACCCTCAACCTTTCAAACATCTGGCCAACAATAAGCTAGTTCTTCAGCAACAATGTCAGAGCAGAGGAATAACTCAGGTTATACTGTAACTCAAAAGCAATACTACGGAAAACTTAAAACACCTAGCACTGTATAGAGAAGTAGAGAATTACAGAAAACCATTCAAAGACATTTCTGCTACCTCACTTTTCACTTTTTATCTAAGCATGGCTGCCACCTTTGAACTGGTTTCTGTTTGCATAGCTGTTTGGTGGAGAAAATACGGCTGTCCCAGGCACAATTTGGGAAAGTGCAAATTGTTTCTAAGGCACAGAATTTAGATTCTCAGCCAGATTCATAGCAAACCTAGGTTTCCCAAGGGAACATGCTAGAGAAAATGACCACAGCATTCCACTGCTAGAGAGTAACTCCCCTCCGGAACAAGGACAGGGGTCTCACCCTCCCTTCAATGCTCACTTCCATCCCCCAGTCTCAGCAACGTCCCATGTTCCTCAGATCCATAGCAGAAGCAACACTCATGATTAACACCCAAACTGACCCTGCCTCTCAGGCCTGCTGAGATGGTAAGCATGAGGGACACAAGAACGTGAAAGGCCAGTCAGTCCTTTAAGAAAATCAAAGTTGCATTTACATGATGAATCAAAACCCATTATTAGGGTGTATAGCAAACCCCAAGTCCCTAGAATTTGTAGCTTAATCCAGGGTTGGCCCCTTCCCTTATTTTAAGAAAAGGCTTCAGTGATTACATTAGTACCATTGTACTAGGCTTCCCAGAACTGAGAAAACAATGGGAACATCAAACCAAAGAAGATCCCATTGGACAGAGTTGCCCATCCCCAGCTATGGGGTTTTCCCGGAACATCAGCCTTTACATCATCAGTTTTAGGGAAATGACATTTCCATTGCACAGATCCTTCCAAAATATTAAACAGACATCAAACATTTATGTTTTGGTTTAGGGAAAAGGAAATAAAACAATGTAGCTGTTTCTAGGAAGGTAGGATGTGAAACTCTTCAAGGCGGCCCGTGAACCTTTCACAAGGCTAGGTGGAGATACCAAGCTCACACCCTAAGTAAAATCATCAAACGCTCTAGGACACTTTGGGAAAGCCAGCTTGCTCTGGTCTATAAGGACATGACTACAGGATTAGAAGGGAGCTCAGCCAAATTCCTTTCACTTGGCAGGTTCTACCTGTTGTTAGGCTTCAGGGACTACCAGGTTTGGGGGCTGGCTTTGGGCCACTCAAGTAGGAAAGATGATACAGATTCACTGATATGGCGTCATAAACACCAAAGGGGAGAAAATACTGACTAGACATATAGAAAGGGAGTGTGGATGGGGCTGCCGATGTCAAGATCAGAACCGTAGGAGCCATGAGGGCAGAGGCATAAGAGGCTGCCTGGACGGAAGACTGTCACTGCCGGCCTCTCAAACATGCAAGCAGAGGCAGCTAGAGGACTTCCTCTCCCTCATGGTTTTCCCTTAAGGCCACTCCTACTGCCTGACTGGCTCAATTCTCTACAAGCCACCTCATCTCTCAGAGGCATCTTCTAAAGCTAGGAAAGCCCACCCTGCACTGGCCACAGCTGGACACTCCAGCTGTGTGATGAGGAGGGACCTGCCCTTCTTTTTCTACTCCTCACCGAAGAAATTTCAATCAACCTCAGAGGAAAAGCAACTGAAGCCCATTTTTCCTCCTAAAGCATTGAGCTGCACGATGTAACTGAACTTTCTGAAAACTGGCCCAAGAGACTGACTCCACCAGTCTTTCCTGGACTCAGGACTCCTGAGAGGGCTCAGAGCACTTCAACTCTCTACAGATGACCCTGGGGGGCCCCACCTGGTACCAGCCCACTCCAGCTTCACA